TTAGTGGATGTAAGTCTCACCTAACCCGTGCTTTCCCCCGCAAGGCATGCGTAGGCCTTCTCTAGACAAAGATAGGATGAATTTAGCTTAAATGTTATCATTGATAATCTACGGTGCAACCAATAAACTACTGTGCTCATGTTTAAATATTTGGAAACTCAGTTTAATTACAGGCTGTGAGGAATTCTATTATTGTCTTCATACCTGACAACTCATTTGTACCAAGTGGGTCTTCAGTAACCAATTTTTTTTTATAAAATAAGGATGACACATGAGTACACAGTCCACCTGACTATAAGTGGATACTGCGGGCCATAGACATCTACATTCTGCCGACCCTTACCCCTGAACGGGTTCTGACCTCGTCGTGGCGGGGGAGGGGGCTTAGTAACCGTGGCTTAATACTAAGAGGAACAAACGTGGCTTGTTGAAAGTGCAATCTGAGGTGGCTACTCCGAGTGAGCTTGATATTCTTGGTAGCGCCTAACTTGATAAGCAAAACAGGGAGAAGTGGTCTTTCCTCGATTGTGCTGGCGCTAGACGGGTCAGGCATGTATGCAAAAGCATTCCCGTGGCCCCGCTAATATGCGGCGAAGGTTGAACATCATGGTGTTTTAGTCAGTGCAAATCCGACATAACCAATCCTTGCAACCTCGAGGCGGCAGGCATTTCCCCATGTTAAAATAAAAAAAAATCTACATTTATCCTCGATTAAGAATCAAAATGCAGATGCGTTGTCACCGGTGAGGACTGAGACCAATGCCTTGTTTCTAGTAAAAAGTGTCTCCGGTTCTATACACTCACGGTACAAAACATAGCAGTATACAACTGGTATTTTACGCTGGTACTTTGTGAGAGCGTAGTCCTTCCCCGGTCGAGCCGACTCATTCGTGCTACAACCTTATGGTTGGAGTTATATATATATTAGTTGGAGCCACGCTGAAACAATATTATTATTGTTTCAGCGTGGCTCTACTACATTTAAACTTACCATCAGGTTGACTAATACCTCCTTTATCACCATAATGTTATAAAAAGTACACAAAAAACTGTTAAGGAAAAAAAGTATAGAAACAACCTATGTACGTCCCGCTGAGAATACACTGTTATTTTAGGAGGAAACGGTTTGGGTCGATGCTACAATTTGTTGACAAGCAGATTATCTTATCTTTTTAGTGCTGATTTTACGTACAGTCAGTCAGTCAGAAACTTGCATGTCTCAATAAGAAAAGTAAAATATTTTGAAGACATGTGAAGTCCGGCAACACTCATTGGGGCAGCGCGGTGGAGATTTTCTTGCCCTAAAACCCTCAAGGAAAGGAGATGAGGCTTGTGTCCACTATTAGAACGTACTCCTATATACTAACTTTACTCATTATTAAGCACTAGCTGTTTTAATTAAGCCCTGCGACTTCGCTCGCGTTCAATTTATGTTTTTAATTTTTTTGCATAATTATTTATCTAAAATAAAAGTAAGATAATGTTATAAGCTTAAGTTACTCCTAATAACACTATCAACCATTGAAAGTCCCTTCAAAATCAGTCCAGCAATTTCGGATAGATTTTCTTAAAAAATTGTATTTTTGTTGTTATAGAGGTACCGTATATACTTTCATATGCATTTATTAAAAAGCTGTCAATTTTAAATTACAAAGAAATTACAATTTTATTTATTTGTATAGATTCTAGCGGAAAGGTTTATTTCTAAAAATGCAAGTAAAGAAATTCATTCTGAATGAGCTCATTAACAGCCATGCAGGCAAGTCACGTAACGGCATCAATCAGGCGCCCAATTTACTTTGCGGCCTTTCAATATTTTTCTTGTGAAGGCTTTTTAAGCTACATAAAAGTTGAGATTTGTACGTGTTTTATCAATCCAAAACGCCAACATTTTTTATATTCCATTAGCGAAGTCCTTATTTAATAATATCATAAAAGTCCACGGTTGGGCTTGGGGCTCCTACATTGTAGGAAAAAAAATGTCATATAACGTGGTGGTACGCTTGGCAGGATCCTCCACATGTATCACTCCTTTGATGGTGCTTCTCGCCGCCGGTATCCGTTACCGTTGCAGTCTATCAAACGTCTACTGCTTAGCACAGGCCTCAGTGGATTGCCTCAGAGGAAGGATATTTACCATAGTTGCCACACTTGACAGTAGGATTGGCAACCGCAGTTTTTTTTACAGTTGTTATTAGGAAGACGCTGCTGCCCCATCTCCTGATTCGTTACCATCTGTCACCTCTTACGACAACCGCGGGATCATATGGAGTAGTGCATATTATTACATCGTCGTACATGGTGAGTTATATATTTATCTTATATGAGATCATATGCAAAAAAAAATAATTAAGCTACAGTGAATATGTGTGGTAGTTCAAAGAACCGATAGTCAATGGGGAGGAAAGGTTTGCGACTGGCAGTTTTGTACCTTAAGCGAAGTGTAAGACTATTTCCGAAAACATGGAGTAAGGACCTGATAAGGCATGCAGGAAGCCGATGGATGCAGGTGGAAGGGCGTTGTTTTGTGGTATTCCTTGGTGGAGGCCTATGTTCAGCAGTGGATTTTTGGGAGGGTATGTCGGTACCAGGCAACGAAAATTTTCTGAGCTTTTTGCCGCATCTTACGACACGATTGATAAGAAACGAGAAATTGGGTGTAGGATTAATTCACGTCGATACAACAAATCGAGTTAAAGATATTTTTAATTACATAAATAATGTAATACAAAATTACAAAATGTACTTATATTATTTTGTGTGTGGGATGAAATAAAAAATTAAATCAAATGCAAACTAGGTAGAGGATTAGACTCCCGGCACGTTGTGTTTAACAACAATAGGCAAGCTGGTCGATACGTCTCATGTTCATCTGCAATTTTTGATGGGCGGGCCAGTTCGTCCGGAGAATTGCCATCGCCACAAAAAATATCCACCTGCGTGTAGTAGAAGAACATGTAGGTACTACTGCGCTTTACCTGGTCAGTGTAGGTATTCGTAGATCCATCTCCCCTTTCATTATACATTCTTATTCCAGAACCTCTATTAACCTATTATTCATTTCTCAAAGGTGGTTTCAAAAGGTGACTTTAATAACACACCTTACACCTGCAATTCAATCAGAGACCTTTTACTTTTTGACATACTTTTTTCCGTTCTTTGTCCACTCTTACAAATCTCAAATTAAATCTTGATTCTAACTTCGTATTCGTATACAGTATCAAGCTACTGTTACCATCCACAGGAATCAAAATGCAGATGTGTTGTCACCCCTAATGATTAAGATGCAATGCCTTATTTCAAGTAAAAATGGTCTCCGGTTCTCTTCACTTACCACACGAAAAACAGCATCATTAATCAGGTATTTTACGCTAGTATTCTGTGAGAGCGTGGTCCTTTCCCGGCCGAGCAGTGCTATTAACGAATAGAATAGTAGCGTGCTACAGCCAGAACATAGCTGCAGCATGGCTCTACCACGCAAAACGTAAATGCAAATTCATTTACCTTCACCTGCTAATCATGTGAAATTTCCGTATAAATGTGAAAAATATTGTTTTTGTTCAAATAGGTGCCTGTTAGTTCTAGTTCTTTAGTCACTTACAGTCGGTAGTAAAATCACTACATAATAAATAGATTAAGTTGTTTTAACTAATCGCTTTGGGCTTTGTTCTTTATTTCGTCTTCAAACATAATAATAAAACAAAAACTTAAAAATAATCTTATTGGATTGTTATTGTACCTATCACTAAATAGAAAAAAAAATTATTATTTTCAGTTAACGCAAATTCCAGCCTGCTTGTGTATTGTATGACTTTTCTGGGAATAATATTATCTACTCGTATTTACAGGAAATTACCTGTTAAACAAAAGAATTGCCGACACCCGCGACTGTTTTATGGCATTTGACCTCTTTTTCTAAAATGAATAAACACTGGCCCAATTACGTTATTTTTAATGTTTAAATATACCTAATTCTTGCCTTATTTGTTGATTTATTACATTATACAAATTTCAAATATTATTTAATTAAAAATTTGCGACAATAATTACGTCGTCGAGGCACAGATCATTTTAAAATTTAGAATATGTACTTAGAAGAGAGATCAAACGTGCACACGGCTCATTTGTTGGTAAGTGAGCACCGTCACCCAATGAACATTTGCAACAAGAAATAAATTGTAAATGCGTTGCCGGCCTTTTAGCAAAAAAGGCGTTTACAAGTACTGGGTTTGGATAAGTTATATTGTTCCGGAAAAACTACATAAGTATTTTTTATAATTTGATTAGACGTTATGAATAAATTTATTAAAATTACTGCTTATTGTTTTTACTATTTTTCATGGCAAGATTAGTAATCTAAAATATTAACAGATACTAAAAAGGTACAAAACTAAATATATAAATACAATAACAATAGTACTTACTTACTCAATTTTTTTGAATTTTTATTTTATTAGTTTAATATACAGAACTCCGAAATCAAAATCAGGCATTTACATATATATAAATTACAACAATTAAGTACTTGTAGGCTATATAAATTGCGTGCGGCATTCGGCATTTCAGCCCTGCAGCGGCGTGATCAATCGCTAGGCCACTGAAAAAAAAATTAAATCATATCAGTAGTTCTTGAGTACTTAAATCTTCTATGAGTAAACATAATTACCCTTTTTTGTCATTAGTGTGTATATACTACATTTATATACCATTTTAATAAGAATGCACACTTAACAATTTTAGGCTTAAAATTCTAGGTAAAACAAGTAATAAATTTCTGCTAGGCGGCCATTGTTAAAGGATTAGAAGCTTTGTATTATTGCTTTTTGGTTTCTTATTGGTTTCGTATTATCACGTTCCTTAATTTTTTGTGCATTAGTGTTGGAGAGGAAGCAATAGACGTCCAAATGCCTATTTATATGGGGTTGGAGAGTAAAACAATCAGTTACTAATTTTTTCTTCGACGTCGAAGCATCGGAAAGGACTAAGTGATCAAATTCAAAATGGAAGCTCAAGTAAGACAAATTTTATCACTATAAGTTTAGATTTTATGTTACAAAAATTGATAAAGTTACAGTAGTCTACGCAAGTTGTAATATTGTCTGTAACCTAGCGATTTAAAGCTTTTTTCTTCTTTTAGGGGCACCTGTCTTACAAAGCTCAGAGCAGAAAGCGTGGTAGACCTGCTGGTAAAAACCGCATGCCTCTTAGCACAGTAAGTACCTAGATTAAATATCATGTAGATTAGAAGTAAATATACAAATTATTTATAATGCTGAGTTATGTCCTTGTGCTTTCGTACTGATTAAATACATTATGATTGATATCTTATCTGTTTTATGGAGGTTGTAGCATAGACCAAATTTATCTTTATGGTATATAAATCCATCATTTATATATCAAAATAAAGTTCGAATACAATAATACAAAGAATTTATACAGGCAGTTATCTTTATCATATTATTTTACGATTATATATGATTGATTATTTTTATGTAAACTGAAATATTTTTAATTTCATTAGGAACAGAGAAAATCACGCAACGCCCAGTATGAGAAAGAAAGACGTAACGAGATTGCACACGCTACATTACATCTGGCCGAAGCAGTAGGCTGTGACAGTTCCGTAAGTAGATTTGTGTATACTTTTATAATGTAGTGGTGATCTGCCACGGATTCGCACGGGCGATATCTACATTCTACAACAGCGCCATCTACCGCGTCCAACTATGCCTACCGCGATTTGATGTATGATATGACAGTGCACAAAATAGGAACAAACTTACAATAATTTTTATACCTACATTAGATTGATATAAATTATTATTCGCTTGATATATACGATGGTACTGACACTTGAAGCAAATGTCGACATAATTATGAAGGTCAACTCGACTGTGACTTTTTTGTTGACTACGATAAGGCTGCATGTATTATATGTAATTAATCTCAGGACACGACACTCAAAAGTATGCCTGGTGTCAATATTCCAGGTATATAAAAAGTACTGGTCATTATAAACCTTAACCGTAAGCACATGTGAAATACAACTATTTTTAAATTCAAATCGTACAACTCACTTGAGCTTTTTTATATCATTTTTATTAAGACCCATTAAAAATTGATTAATGGTAATGGTTTTAGTCAATTTTTGACCGTCTTCATTATTATTTATATCTATAACCTTGATTATAATTATATATATTATATATAAACTATTGATTTGACACTATATTGTGACTGTTTTAGGTTACACTACAAAATCTACTAACATCTGTGATTAAACTTTTGGATAATAAAGCTAACTTTAAACCTTCGGAGTCGATACAAATTTTAAGACAAAGAAACGAAGATATTTGTAAAGAGAGTGCGTATTTTTACAATATATAGAGTAATAAAATTTTTTATGTATAATTTAAAGGAATTATTCAAATTATCATTATATAATTTTCAGTACAGGAAATGGAGCTGTTTTTAAAATCAAAAGGACTCAATAAACAAGAATATGAGACGGACAGTGAATGCGAGTCATATAACCTAAGAAGCCGAGGATCAAAAAGAAAATCTGAAAATATATGTGAGGTAAGACCAAGATTTCCAATCTTTTCAATTATTAATATATCTATGAATAATTTATTTTGTTATTGACTAACCTTTCTTAGGTATCCCACCCTAAAAGTTGAATCACGACATAGTCTAAGGACATCTAGGATCTGTTTATAGATTTATTAATTTGAAAAATATCATATAATATGGAACAAGGGTGAAATGGTTACTGTAATATCTGTCGGATGTTACGACCTACTTTATGTATTGTCTACCTTTAAGTTACCCGAGAGCTACAACGGTAGATTCTCCTACGTTGCTTAAACGGTACAAGGTAATGGAGCCAAGCTGCAGCTACATTGTGGTTGTACGGTGGTCACGAACGGGTCGGCTCGACCGGAATAGCACCACACCCTCACAGAATACCATCGTAAAATAGCTGCGTAATGCTGCTGTATTTCGTATGACGAATGTGGTGAACCAGAGACTCTTTTAATTGGAAACGAGGAATTACATCTTGGTCCTTAGGGGTGAGAGCGCATCTGCGTTTAACTCTTAATCGAGAATAGATGTAGAAGTCTCGATGGGCCGCAGAAACCACTTACCATCAAGCAGATTTTGTGCTCGTTTGTCACCTTTATTCTATTAAAAATATGGACATGAAGCAATTTTGAACAGTTCTAAAATAATTTATTGCAGGCCCTTTATATCATATTGAGTAATTAAATAATTGGTGTTATTGATGTTGCTATTAAATTATAAAATTTAATGTTTTTGATTGTTACAGTTACAATACAGTGAGAAGAAACAGTTAAATGAAAAAGATGTCAAGTCAATGATATCGACTGCGTCAAACCTAGTAAGTTTTACAATCTGAACTTTGGAGCTAGTCTGAAATGTCGTAACTAATCCACGAAAGTAGAAGTAGAGTAAATTAGAGGAAATGAGTGTAAGCCTAAGTATTTCGATTTATGTTTACAATCTAAATAACTTTCCTTCTCAAAAATAGTTCACAGTTAGATATGGGCTTTATCGGATCCATCTATAGTATCGATTACAATACTAAACGTTTCGCATCTACATATATATTGATATCAAATTAAATTAATCAAATTATTCTTATTTAATATCCACTCCGTCACTTATCATCTTTCTGTTTGTTTTGAAACAAATGATGTTTTACATTTATGCACTATTCTGTGCCCGGTATGCACAAAGAGTATTATAATATAGTCACTACATTTTAGGCATGCATTGCATTGCTTTATTTATCAGAAACTATCGCAAGCGTGCGCATGACTTCTCACTTTCATCGTTATCGAAGCATTGCTACAGGAACGCATAGATAATGAACAAACAAAACGATATTCATTTATGTTAGAAATCCTCGCAGCCGCGCACACAACTGCCCAAAATGTCACCGTAATTGGATAAATGGCATAGGAAACGCATACGGGATAAAAGATAAATTTAATGAGATTAAATTATAATATAAAACATTTATTTTCATATTATAACATATTATTTCATTTTTCACAGACTGACAGCTTCAAGGGACGATCCTGATGTCGGTGATTAGCAATATTATAGGTAATAATTTAATAATTGAAATCAAAGTTGTTTTCCATAAATTATAATTTTATAGAAATGTTTTTAAAATTATTTGAATAATAAATTTTTACTTTTATAACATCATATTGTTTTATTTGTACTAGCCTAATCCTAGGTTTTTTTTTAATTCACCGGTAGCTAAAAGGAAGGAATATTTTATGGCTGTATGTTTTCCTGGTCTTTTGTAATTAATTTATAGAAATCAAAAAAGAAAGTTTTCAATTCGACTGTATGTTCCATTATATCTAATGTTACGCGATATCTTCGCTAAATGTGAAACAATTTCAATGATTCTTTTTTTTATTATATAACGTACTTTAGGGAACTACGATTCATGTCTACCTAAGGTAAATACGTTTTTATGTAGTTACCTATCGTTGTTGTTAAGGCGAGAAAATCCTATTATGTGAAAATTATTTTATTTTTTCTGAAACTTTGATGTCAATATATACTTTATACTAACAGCTTAATTTTCTTATTTGCAGTATCATAGGCTACATTTTAAGGTAATAACTATTGATATGCTACTACGTAGTACTATTATTTATTCTGTGACGCTGCTTACTAAAAACAATATGGCGCTTGATGGCGCGCATTCTAATGAATTATGCATTTATAATAGTACCTAATTATTTATTCGATTTATTATCTTTATATCTATTTCCATTTATATAAAAAGAGAATCCCCGAGTGTTGTATGACTATGGGACATACTGAGAAGATGTTACATGGCTTTTGCAAGTCAGCATTAAGCTGCTTTTTTACGCTGGTATTTTGTGAGAGCCTGTTTCTACTCCGGTCGAGCCGACACATTCGTGCTACAACCATAATATAGCTGAGTGTATCTCTACCACGTGAATGTTTACCATGAGGTGGACTGTGTTTTCGCTAGTCGTTCTTTATCCATCTCTTATGTGTTAAGTCCAATAACTAGAAGCGATAACACGCAAATGGTTTAAGATACGTTCTGCGACGCATGGCTTAGGATCAAATCTGCCTATTCAAATACTTTCTTGCTGGAATTGGAGACTACCAGCGGCTCCCTCCAAACAGTTCCCTCTCAAAGCAATAGTGGAAACTTTACAACAATAAATGTCGAAAAATATTTATTTTAAGTTATTGCATAGCTTTCGCGGGCCTTGAGTGCGGGAAAATCCAGAAATTTCGTAACGAAAAAAACCTCACGCTCTCCGACGGGCACGGAGGTGTGGCTTGAAGGCCGTGAATTGTCTAACGATGGTCTAACGTCGTTTCTTTTCCTCAGTCTTCGACACGGTGTTTATGTATAAAGTGTTTTGAAATTTTGAATATGAATGAATAAAGTGCATTTATTATTAAGGCTGCTCTCTCGCAAAAAGCTTGAAAAAAGCGTGCAGATGAACCAACTTTTCGTCGACACTTACAGAGAAATTACATATGAAAAAAATAGCTAGTAATCAACATGATCTGATACGTAATTTGGTTTAGCCATAATTTTTCTATCGGTGTCATATAATAAATAAAAAAATACCCAAATCACCTCCAAATCGTTGAGATGAAACCACTTTACTCCTTCATTGTTTATCAAAGGAATATAAAAAAATATCTACTGCTTTTCAATACAAAATAAAATAATTTGGTTTGGTTACTTTTTAGAAATATGCATTATTTTTATGATAATAAATTAAAAATGCGTCCCGATTAAATACTGCGTCTATATCACCCCCCGCATTCGTCCACGAATTCAGTGCGGGGCGCATCGTGTTGCTAGGTGGACGTACGCCGCGTTACGAGAGCTCAGCACTACGAAATAAAATCGTAAAATATTACTGCACAAATTTAATTTTGATATTTTTTTTGCGCCCGAAGCAATTAAAGGGCTACCCTATACGTAGGGAGGCGGAAAATGCATTACGCATACCACGATAGCCGGTCTATCGTGGTTATGAGGAACTCACTGTTCTACCGGGGACCCTAAGTGATACCCTCTAAAAATCGCCTTTGGGGACAGGCAGCCGGCTGATTAAGCTGTATTGTGCCTTATCGTGAGCGACCCTCTTTTGGGAAAAGAGGGCGCAGGCGGCTAAGAGCCGCTGAGGGAGTGCCTACGAAGGCAAATTAATATTAGTTAATACAATAATTTAACTTAATTAGAGTTGGCCTGAGCCGCCATGAGGCGGTTCAGGTCGTTTGTCAGTTTAATAGGCGGGTCCGAGAGAGAGTTTCTCGTCCTGCGGACTCGATAGCGAGAGGGGGGTGGGGCTGCATAAGAAGCTGCCTCACGAATTAATTGGTTTGGGTGCGACTCTGAGGCTTTGAAGAAGTTCTCAGAGAGTTTTTAAAGAAATTGTTGAATAGTTGGGAGCTCTAGGTCCCGATGAAGTTCGGCATTACGGACGTACCAAGGTGCGTTCGCAGCTCGACGACAGAAAAGGTTTTGAACTATTTGGAGTTCATTAATAATATTAGGGTTTGCGTGGGCAAAGACGGGGCCCGCGTAGGACATGACTGGTCGTATACAGACCTTATAAAGGGTACGCTTGTTTCGGAGGGACATTTTACTGTGTCGGCCCAACATACTGTTGAGCCTACTCAGATAAAACCGTGCGTGACGGGTTACTCTTTTGACGTGGGGCCTGAAAGTGAGCCCTGTGTCCAGAGTAACACCTAAATATTTGGTGGTCGTATGCCAGGGGACAGGGGTCTCTAGCATACGTATTGGTGGAGTGTTTTTGAGACGGCGTCGTTTATAGTCGAAGTGAACGGCGGAGCTCTTCTCCGGGTTCACATCGATACGCCATTTTTTGAACAAAGCTCCTAGGTCATCAACTGACTTTTGGATCTTGTTCCGTATGAAGGGCAGTGAGACACCTTTGCAGTAGATAGCAGTGTCGTCTGCGAAGAGGAAGAGCTGAACACCTTTCGACGGGATGGGAATGTCGTTGGTGAACAGGATGTACAGCAGAGGAGCAAGTACTGAGCCCTGTGGGACACCAGCCTTGATAGTTCGTTGTGAGGATAGCGTGCCTTCGTGTCTAAAACGAAAGGTACGATACTCTAGGTAAGAAGCCACGAGACGTACTAGGTGATCGGGGAGACCTATTTTGTATAGTTTGTAGATAAGGCCTGTATGCCAGACCCTATCGAAAGCTTTGGCTATGTCGAAAAAGACCGCGATGGTCTTATGACGACGAGGATAGAAACCGCTGAGGATATGTTCCACAATGCGGTGAACTTGTTGGGGACATGAGTGTTGGGCTCTAAACCCGAATTGATGGGGAATGATGAGAGGGTCACCGTCTGTGGGAAACAGATAGTGCCCATTTCCTTGAGGAGGCTAATGGGGCGATGATTGGAGGGGAGGTTAAGAGGCTTGCCTGGCTTGGGAATTCCAATCACAGTTGCCTCTTTCCACGTAGTGGGAAAGTAGCTAAGGTTGAAGCAGACGTTGAAGATAATAGATAAAAAGGTTAACACCTGCTCAGGAAAGTGTTTTAGGGCTTGGTTGGAGATGCCATCCGCGCCCGGAGCCTTTTTCGGCTTAAGTCCTTTGATGAGGGATGAAATCTCATCATTGGACACAGAGATAGGTTCGGAGGCCGTAGGGGGTGAGTTCCGGCGGCGGACCTCATCCTCCACTGCCTGGACGTGTGAGGGGTCGACGGGTTGAGAGCTAGGAGAGCATTGTGCGGCAATGCTATCTGCAAAGCACTCAGCCTTTTCCTCGTCCTCGAAGACAACCGTGCCGTCGGGACGGGAGAGAGGGGAGTGTGGGTCATAGCGTCTATGCGGAGGGTTCTGGCCATCTGATAGTACGCTGTATGAGATGGAGAGATATTCTCCATGAGTTTACTCTTTTCGAGGTCTCGAAATTCAGAGAGGCGGAAACGGAGTTCTCGTTGAAGACGATTGGCCGCGCGCCTATATTCGGGGGTGGGATATTTTGCTGCTCTCCGGAAAGCAGCTTTTTTGGCTTTTAATAGGTTGCTAATATGTAGGGGAAGCCCACTATTGTTAGCAACCGGGACGAACCTTTCGTTCTCCTTAAGGGAGGATTTAATAAGGGTGGAGAGTGAATCGACCGCGGTGTCGATTTTATCGGGACTGACTAAGTCCGACGGTAGGGAGATGGTAGAGTCCTGTGAGTCCAGAGCTTTAGCTAGGGACTCCTTGAATCCTTTCCAGTTGGTGTAGGTTTTCGTGTGTGTTGGGGGAGGTGGCTGATGGCCAAGAATGAGGGAGACCGGTCGGTGATCGGATCCTAGATCG